AGTGCGCCCTGCCTGGCGCGCGCTGCCGCCGACTGCAGCTCGGCTTTAGCTGTCGCCCTGTCCCCTGCCACCCCTGTGCCCCTTTTGCAGGGTAAAAACCTTTAAAGCCAAAAGAAAGACGTAAAAAAAAAAAAAGGCACCGTCTTGGCAAAAGGGGGGGGACACCCCAATTCCTTTAACGTTCTGGTGTGCAGCAAAACCATCTAGGCTGGGAAAAAAATAGGACTGAGGAAGCTGGAGAAAGCTTTTCCCTTGGGATCAGCTACAAAGACTGGGAGTTGAGGTTGGGAGCGCGCCTTTTCAAACGACAGTTATCGCAGGTACGCGTCAGTGACGGCGATAATAATAATAATAATGATAATAATAATTGATAAAGAACAGCAGTGTGCGGGTGCTGCCCTGCTCCCCCTCCCCGGCGCCCCCGGTAAAATAATCCCAACCAAGTCTCCTTGTATTTATATCCCTGCGTGTCTGTGTGTGGCCTAGCCCCATTCATCATTTGGCTCCCACTGCAGAACTCGCTCCATTTTTAAAATTATGCATGATACACTGAAGAGACAATTTGGGTTTCCCCCACCTCTCCCTTGCCCTTGAAGAAAGCGAGCCCTTGTCTCATTTGCATTTGCATTAAACCCCTGCTCTCTATAAGCTGAGCAAAGGGGAAGGACTTGAAGCCTATGGGATGGCTTTAGGGCTCTGCCCCTTGCTTTTGGCTCTCTCTCTCTCTCTTTCTCATTCTCTCTCGTGCTTTGATCTCTGCTTAACAACAGTAACGTCACAGGGACTATACAGGAGAGTTTTGTTGGAAGTTAGAAAGTTTTGCAGCCTCCAGAGGGCTGTAGCGGCAGTAGCAGAAGCAGCATCCAAGGGACTCCTGGAAGGGGAAGAGAGCGAGCGACTGACTCGGTCCCGCTGCAGAGAAGCGACTCGAGCCGACGGAGGCAGACATGGAACATCAGCTGCTGTGCTGCGAGGTGGAGACCATCCGGCGAGCCCACCTGGATGCCAACCTCCTCAATGACAGGGTGCTGCAGACAATGCTGAAGGCGGAGGAGACCTGCTCGCCCTCCGTCTCCTACTTCAAGTGCGTGCAGAAGGAAATCTTGCCATATATGAGGAAAATAGTTGCCACTTGGATGCTGGAGGTTTGTATCTGGCGGGGAGTCGCTTTGCAAGCTTCGGCACCGAAATG